CTTGGGGTGGGGGGTGGAAAAGAGTTTATGGCTTTTGGAAGAAGATGTAGGGAACTTGGGAAGACTACAAGGGTGTTATGTATGAGGTTATGCAGGGAGGAAATTAGAAGGGCTAAAGCCCAACTAGAAATGAATTTGGCTAGTGCTGTAAAAGGCAGAAAAAGATGTTTCAGTAAATACATTAACAAAAGGAGGACTAAGGAGGATCTCCATTCTTTAATGGATGCCAGGCGAAAGAAACATAGTGACAAAGGATGAGGAAAAGGCTGAGGTACTTAGTGCCTTCTTTGCCTTAGTCTTTAGTAGTAAGACCAGTTGTTCTTCACGTACCCAGCCCTGGAGCTGGAAGATGGAGACAGGGAGCAGAATGAAGCCCCCATAATCCAAGGGGAAATGGTTAATGACCTACTTCACCACTTAGACACACGCAAGTCAATTGGGCTAGATGGGATCCACCCAAGGGTACTGAGGGAGCTGGCGGACATACTTACCAAGCCACTTTCTATCTTTTATCAGCAGTCCTGGCTAACCAGGGAGGTCGCAGCTGACTGAAGGTTAGCAGAAGTGAGACCCACTAAAAGAAGGACTGGAAGGAGGATCCAGGGAACTACAGGCCTGTCAGTCTGACCGTGGTGCCAGGGAAGATCATGGAGCAGATCATCTTGAGTGCCATCACATGGCACATACAGGACAACCAGCTGATCAGGCCCGGTCAGCATGGGTTTATGAAAGGAAGGTCCTACTTGACTAACCTGATCTACTTCTGTGGCAAGGTGTCCCACCTAGTGTATGAGGGAAAGACTGTGATGTTGCCTATCTGGACTTTAGTAAAACCTTTGACACCATTTCCCACAGCATTCTCCTGGAGAAAGTGGCTGGGATAGGCATATACTTTGCTGGGTAAAAAGCTGGCTGGATAGCTGTGTCCAAAGAGTTGTGGTGAGTGGAGTTAAATCCAGTTGGTGGCTGGTCACAAGTTCTCCATGGCTCAGTATTCAGGCCAGTTCTGTTTCATATCTTTATCAGTGATCTGGATGAGGAGATTGTGTGCACCCTCAGTAAGTTTGCAAAGGACACCAAATTGGGTGGGACTGTTGATTTGCTTGAGTCTGGGAAGGCTCTATAGAGGGGTCTGAACAGGTTGGATTGATGGGCCAGGGACAACTGTGTGTGATTTAACAAGGCTGAGTACTGGATCCTGCACTTGGGTCACAACAACCCCATGCAACATTACAGTCTTGGGGAGGAGTGGCTGGAGAGCTGCCTGGCGGAAAAGGACATGGGAGTACTGGTCGACAGCTGGCTGAACATGAGGCAGCAGTGTACTCAGATGGCCAAGAAGGCCAACAGCATCCTGGCTTGTATCAGAAATAGAGTGGCCAGCGGGAGTAGGGAAGTAATCATCCCACTGTACTTGTCATTCATTGGTAAGGCCACACCTCAAGTACTGTGTTCGGTTTCGGACCCCTCAGTACAAGAAAAACACCGAGGTGCTGGCATATGTCCAAAGAAGGGTAGTGAAGCTGGTGAAGGGTCTAGAGCACAAGTCTTACTAGGAGTGTCTGAGGAAACTGGGGTTGCTTAGCCTGGAGAAAAGGAGGCTAAAGGGGGAGACCTTATTGCTCTCTACAACTACTTGAAAGGAGTTTTTAACGAGGAGCAGGTCAAGTGGTAGAACAAGAGGAAAAGAAGACCTCAAGTTGCACCAAGGGAAGTTTAGATTGGATAGTAGGAAAAATTTCTTAATTGAAAGGATTGTCAAGCACTGGAACAGGCTGCCCAGGGAAGTGGTTGAGTCACTGTCCCTGGGGGTATTTAAAAGATGTATAGATGTGGTGCTAAGGGATGTGGTTTAGTGGTGGACTTGGCAGTGTTTGGTAAGTGGTTGTACTTAATGATCTTGAAGAACTTTTTCACCCTAAATGATTCTATGATTCTAAATGTACAGTTGTCTCTTTTTGGCAGTGGGTATAATCAGCAGTTCAGGTTGAGGCTTAAGACGTTGCAAATGATTGAATGTTCTCACATTTCCTGGTAACTGCTCTCCGTGTCTGGGATGATTAACAAAATCTGAAACAACAATTCTTGCACACCAAGAACCCTGCAGGTTTTTATCTTTCAATCTCCTGACTCTTGCTTTGCTTTCCTTTCCATGGTAATGTGCAAATCTTGCAGTGTTGTATATTCTGTTTGTCTTAGTAAGGTCCCTGTGACTACAAATTCTGAATAATTTGGACTTCTTTAATTTGACTTTAATGCATTTCAGCTCATTAAACTTATTTCCCTGTGTGTCATCATCATCCTTTTTCTGGAACATAATTATTTCATAGCAAATCTCAAAAGATTTGAAAGAGGAATATTCTAAAATTACAATAAAATACATGACGATGAGAAAAGACCACATTAAAACTTCTGCTGTGGGGGTATGAAGAAAGTGATTTGATATAAAAACGCTAACGGCATTTAAATTAAAAATTGTTTAATAAGATGTTTAAGTTGCCTTATAATTATTTGGAACTGTGCTCCAAGTATGTTTCTAACCAACAGTTCTTGGGGTGCAGGGGTTGGGTGGCGGCGGGGGGCAAGTCAGAAATTTCAGAGCTGAAGCTGTTTCTTTAAAACAGTGATTAATGAGTTAAATACAATTTCCAACTCTGTATTCCTGTCGAGTTCAATAGTACTGATGTGCGTGCCTGTTAGCAGTCGAGGCAAGGGATACTGAAGACTGAATCAATGAAGATTGAATTATCCTCTTTCTATTAGAGGAAACTTTTTCAATGCAGTGTTGAGATACACAGGGATCAGGAATTTTGCTTTCAAGTTGCCTGTCCTGTAGACATGGGGAGGAATTTGGTTACCAGTACTCTTGATTTAGCATCCTGCATTTTTAGTTTAGAAGAGTGAGTGCCACAAAGATGTATAGACAGAGAAGTAAACAAACTAAATCACTTTGCTTGCTGTTGCATAGGAAATAGGAGGCCTGCTAGGGATTATGTAAAACATGGAGGGCGCTTCTGGCATCAAGTAATAAAAATAAGAAACATGAAGGGAAGTTTTGTTTTCAGTGTCCTTTCAAATTGTAATAAAACCAGAATAAAATTACAACTTTGATTTACTGTCACTCCTTCCCTTTCTCCTCCTGGCCTGCTGACCCAACCTCCCTTCCCTTCTGCTTCTATTTGAAGACACTTTTATGGGCTCTTTTACTACACATGAGCTTTGACCAAGGCATGCAACAAAGGTTTGAAGTTACCCTTGCCTAGTTTTCTGAAGACCTATTAAATAAGTCTTTGTTTTAATTCTACCTATTCTTCCATTCACTTTTGATCACTTTGCTACTGCCAGCTGGATGTAAAAAGATACATTTGTCTCAGTAGTAATTATGTCTTAAAAAATCAGCAATGGGGTATATGACTTAAATAATCCTCTTAAAACCATTGTGTAGAGATGGATATTCCTTAAAGTAGCTGGTCAGAGACTTGAGAGAATGACAAGCAGAACTATTGGTATGACTGGTGTTTGGTACCAGTCAGCCTGTTGTAATGTGAATAGCTCCAGCCTAGCTACAGTAATGCTCTTTGTCTTAGTTGGGTGTTCTGGTGACAAAGTGCAATGGAATAATTTATGAGAGCAAGGACACATGCTTGGATATAACAAGTTGCAGAAGTCAGTAGCTTGTTTCTGTAAAAAAGTTTTGTAGTGTTGAGTATTCTCAGTATTGATTATCCAAACCACAGCTTTTGATGTTTGATGTTGTGATATAATCCTGACAGTTTCCATCTTATTTTTCTTTATGTTTGTGCTAATTAAACATAAGCATAATGAAACACTTTAAAACTATTCTTTATCCATTTTTGATCCACATCAGAAATATTAAGATTTTAATTTGTCATGTTTACGTATATTACTTTATATTTCTTTATTTAGACTTCTGAAATAAAAGAAAGGCCTAATTTACTAATATCTCAAATGAATGATATTATTTAATTCAATGTGTTGTGTTCTTTTTTAAATGACATTATGGTAATAATTCATAACTTTATTTAAACAACTCAAGGATTTGTACTTCAGCAGAGAAGGCCAAGCTCAGAATAATAACACTTTTCTTGTCTAATTTCTTAAGAAAAAACCCGAGCCTTTCTTCTGCTATTTCACAGATAATTTATGTATTGCTAGAGAGGGAAGAATGCGCATGAGTTGCATTGAGTTTTTAAAAAAGAGGGGATTTTAAACAACTGACTGTTTTCAGAAATGTCAGTTTTGGATCATAGGAATTAATTCCAAAAAAGACCAATATTCGTACCTAATCTAGTTTATAGAATATTAATTATTTCATTTGGTGGTTAATCTTATTTCTAAGGAAATATTGCATATATTGTTGAGCTGTTGTTTGTGTCAGTATGTTTACTGCTTTTGAGCAAATGGAGGTGGAAGAGCTGATTGCTATTTTTTAAAAAATGTATAAATCTTGCATGAAATTGTAGTGCTGTATGTTACTTCCTTAATGCATAAAACCAGCTGATTCAGATATTCAGTGTATGTTTTTGTCATTTTGTCTTTTGGTAGGATGATGAGGTGGTAGAAGAATATAGTGAAAATAATTTCTATGAATCTGATGAAGAACAGAAAGAAAAGGATCGAAAAGTGAAAAACACCTATACTATGGACCCAGATCACAGGCTGCTGTTACGGAATACAAAGCCCTTGCTACAAAGCCGAAATGCTGCTGTAGGAGAAATTCCTTTTTGATTAAAATGTTAAACTACTAAGTATCTCTGCTTCTAGAAAATTTAAAAGATTGAAAAGTAAAATCTACACCTCTTAAGAAGTGGTGATAATACTCTTTAGTAACTTACAGAAGTATTGTGGTTCTTTCTTTTTTTGAAATTAACTTAACTTCTAAGTAAAACACCTGAACTGAATGTTATACATGCTCTAAATATTAAGGACAAACAAAATATTAGAGAAAGTATAAGAATGGTTGAATCCAACTTCTATAGCATGTGATGACTGCACTGTAGATTGCTTTTAATGCTTAAGCTCTCAGCAACTAGGATGGCACAAAGTGTCAGTTTTGGTGGTACAGATTCACAAAGAAAATCATAGTTGTTATTGATTCATTAAGTTGTGCTTTCCTTTGAGTCTCACATTTTTCAAGTAGACAATTATATGCCTAAATTCTTTGTCAATCCAAGCCATATTCTTAGTGTTGGTGCCTTGGTAGGATAGATATGACATAATGAGTCTAGTATGCTCCACAATATTTCCATGAGATTTTAAGATGCAGGTAAACTTTTAGAACCAGAAAAAGCCATGCTGATGGTGAATCATTGTGACGTTATTCAGATCACAGAACTTTATTTCTAACTTCAGTTTGTCCTGTTAATCAAGACTAGATGTCTTTGGGAAAAGACTTCCAGTGATAAGGAGTATTCATATCATTGCAAAACCAGTTACTGCACCATGATTGAGTCACCTCCCAGCTGTTTGTGATAAGCTAAAGAGATCAAGTTTTTGTTCCCCCCGCCCAAACTTATTTCTAGATTCCTACTCTTTTCAAAACCACTTGTAGTCTACCAGCAGATTTGGGAAACAAATTGAATACAGTTTTATAATAATTATTCTGTTAGAGCATAACCTTTTGCTAAAATCACTGTTCAGTGTCTATACGATATTTGCTCATCTCATGCAAAGGACAAGTATATTAGATATATTTGCCATCATACTGCAGTGAGAATAGTTCCAGTTGCTTATCTTCCACATTTCATAAATCATTTTCTTTATATCTGTTAAATATGGTATTGATTCTCACATTTATGATCTTTAACTTTATGAAATTAAAGTTAACTGAAATGTTTAAGTGCAGTTAGGCAAGTGAAATCATGCTTCTTTGAATTGCCATTACACCAATTTTTCCATCTTTCACAGAATTTACCAGCAGTTAAATCGTTTTCTCTTTGACCTTAGTTTTTTGTCAGTAATAAAAGACCCCTTATATATTGCTAAGAGACCCCTAGTATATTGCTAAAAATCTTCCAGTTACTTACTCCTTTCAGATGTTTTTAGTAATTTTTTATTGTTTAATAATAATTTTTGTTTCATTGGTACTAAGATTTAAGATGACAAATCAAATGTCATAATGATGGCTTTACTTGGTGTCTCCTTTCTATGATTTATTTCTTTTTGAACAGAAAGTTGACCATGATAGTATTGTAGGAAGGTTGTGACATGACTTATTAATAAGTTCGTCACTTGTCTTTTACTTACAAGAAAACTTGAAAAGAAATACAAAAGTATGAATTTTAAGTTGCTTGTATCTTAGTCTTCTGCTTTTTGCTTGCCAGGATGTTGGTATACAACCCTGTAGTTTTTACTTTCTGTTGGATTTGAGACTTTAGAAGTTGCCTGTAAAGGCAGCTGTCATTTTATAAATTGCATAATAGAATAATGGAATGAAAGATTTTAAGTGGAAACTAAATAATAGGTCATATTAAACTTGTATTTAGTAGAAGTAAAAGCAGAAAAATTGCAGAAGTTTTAAACAGTATTTCCTCATTAATTCGTACAGCTGATGTTAGCAATACTGACTTACTAAGGTTTATATCAGTATGTTTACAATTTGAACTACCTGCATTTTTTCTTTCTTTGTCCTTCTTCCTCTGTCTTTCTGTATATTATAGTATACAATAAATACTGAGAGGAATCAGAGGTACTTAACTTTGGTTTGAGAAATAAAAATACCTTTCTTTTGATATTTTCCCCTCAATCTGCTTTGTTGAAGAAGAATGTGGGTATGCACTTTGCTTTCTGAAGAAGAGTGATTTGGTAGTTCTTCAGTTCTGAAGCAAATGTGATGGATATGTATGAAGATTTGAAGTTAACGTGCTGTTCTGAATGTTCTTTTAGGTGGTAATGGCAGTTGCACAGCTTTACTGGCATTTGGCACCCAAATCCGAAGCTGGTATTGTTTCTAAGTCATTGGTCCGTTTACTCCATAGTAATAGGTAGGTCAAGTCTGTACTTTATATTGCTATGTCTATTTTTTGTGAGAGTTTTTCATATATGCTTATTTAGACATAATTATAAGAATATAACTGTTGCACTATTAGAGTTTCATTTGGAAATTGTCCTCTAATATTAATTTTTGCTCAACAAATGAAGATCATTAAAAGTAATTCCATCATTTTCAGTATCACATCCAGTAATCAGTTGGTATCGTAAGTTTTTCATTCTTAATTATGACTTTCATTCTAAGAAGAATCATGGGTGTCTAGTTAGCATACAAATAGAGGCAGTACTAACTGGTTTGCTTAGTTTCTTGGGTTTTTTAATTGTTGGAAGTTATTGGAAATTTAATTATATTGGAGTATCTAACTGTCTTGCTAGGCACTAAAGAAATCTTCAGATGTGTATTTTCTTTTCCTGCACTTTATATTGAAGGCTTCTTGTTGACAGAGAAAGCGAGGAACGTATTTGTTAAAATACCACTTGATGCTGCCGAGTTCCCTGTGTTTCCTTAATCTTTGGATTGTTTTGAAATAACAAGTTTATATTTCATTTAGGACAACTAATTTTGACTTTATCATCTTTAATGTGGTCTTGTCTGATTTCCTATGAAGGGTCTTACTGGCCACATGTTTCATAAGATTGATAATACACTTTTTTTCCTTTGTGTCTGACAGTTTTGGCATATTATGCCAATATTTGCTGCAAAAAAGTGGGTTTGTTTCCCCTCAGATCTTAGGTTTTGAACTTTTATGTATCTGTATGAAAGGCCTTGAAAGGGTGATAGGAATCATGGAATTGTAGTGATTGGAAAAGACCTTTAAGATCATTGAGTCCAACTGTGACCCTAACACTGCCAATTCCACCTCTGAGACACACTAGGAGACACAAAATTAAGTTGTTCTCAGAATGCATTTATAACTAAACATGGTATTCTTGGCTAGAACTTTGCTGTGAAAATTATTTATTTTTTAAAGTTGATCACATCAAACAAACAAAAAGCTTAAAAAATTCACTTTTGTTGTGTCTGACAAGATTACTCATCTTAGATGAGCGTTAATTTTTGTAAGCTCAGTAACTGTAGAGCTCTCTGTAAACTTCTGGACCTCACCCATGACTACTGTCTCTATCATTTAAAAGTTAGACTAGTGAAGTAAAATTGGGCTTGGTAAAGTATTCATACTTTTATTTCAGATAAAAAAGAATCCTTGTTATTTTTGTGTTTGTTTTTGTAGTACAGCATGCTTTGCTTTCTCTTTATACAAAGATAAGTAAAATGGCTAAAGCAGTTTGGCATATGTACAGGTAATATATAGAACTAAATTCATCCTCATAGATTGAAATGATTATTTTTGCATGTTGTTTATTGCTCATTTATACTCAAATTTCATCAAAAGAGAAGTCACATCTTTCCTTAGGTAAAAGGAAAGGTACTACTACATTTTAGGTACTACTCAACTAGTGCCTAAAATGGCACTAATCTTCTGATTTCCCTGTGTTGAATGGCTTGTCTGTTCTCTGTTACCAGTCTATGTGAAACACTCTTGCTATTAGACCCACTCTGAAATAAGCTTTTGCTGTTTGCCCTTGAATTTATGTGCCTATGGCCTTTAAATTAATGTCAAATATGCTATAATCTAGTTAGGGTGAGAGTGTCTGGAAGAGCATTTCATAGGAATTTCCAGTCTTAGTTCATCATATGCAGCTGACTACTTCCATGTACCTATGTAAGAATTACATAAAAATAGGTTTAAAAGATATTAAGCACTTCTCTATTATTACCTTTCTTTATAAGCAACAGCTGTAATTACCACAGGGCTATTAGACAGTTTTAAACAAGAGGAGATAATGGATGTGATGATTTCTCTATTAAAATGTGATTTTCATCATGAAAGAGTTGAGCACTCATGGTTCAGAAAAATTGTGTGTAAATTATTACTTAGTTTTTAAGCAATTAGTGGCAGAAACTCTGTAGTTTAAAAGCTTTAGA